ATCCCAAACCCCTCCTTTAAAGTGCAGGCATTGTACTTCCCATTTCCAGGACTCAAGTCTGACTATATGAAAATAACTGGTTTCCCTGAATCCCTTCACTAAATATTACCCTGCTCACACTCCAACAGATCGTCAGGTCCCAAGTACCATTCGTCTCCATTCACTATCTAACACGCTCACGCACGCTTGCTGGAAGTCCAAGCCCCTTGCCCACAAAACCTCCTTTACCCCCTCTCTCCAACCCTTTCGAATACGACCCCTACCCCTCCTTCCTTCCCCTATAGATTTATATGCTTTCCATGTCATTCTGCTTTCATCCATTCTCTCTAAATGACCAAACCACCTCAACAACCCCTCTTCTGCCCTCTGACTAATACTTTTATTAACGCCACACCTTTTCCTAATTTCCACACTCCGAATTTTCTGCATAATATTTGCACCACACATTGCCCTTAAACAGGACATCTCCACTGCCTCCAACCGTCTCCTCGCTGCTGCATTTACCACCCAAGCTTCACACCCATATAAGAGTGTTGGTACTACTATACTTTCACATTCCCTTCTTTGCCTCCATAGATAACGTTTTATGACTCCACATATACCTCAACGCACCACTCACCTTTTTTCCCTCATCAATTCTATGATTAACCTCATCCTTCATAAATCCATCTGCCGACACGTCAACTCCCAAGTATCTGAAAACATTCACTTCTTCCATACTCCTCCCCAATTTGATATCCAATTTTTCTTTATCTAAATCATTTGATACCCTCATCACCTTACTCTTTTCTATGTTCACTTTCAACTTTCTACCTTTACACACATTCCCAAACTCATCCACTAACCTTTGCAATTTTCTTTAGAATCTTCCATAAGCACAGTATCATCAGCAAAAAGTAACTGTGTCAATTCCCATTTTGAATTTGATTCCCCAAAATTTAATCCCACCCCTCTCCCGAACACCCTAGCATTTACTTCCTTTACAACCCCATCTATAAATATATTAAACAACCATGGTGACATTACACATCCCTGTCTAAGACCTACTTTTACTGGGAAGTAGTCTCCCTCTCTTCTACACACCCTAACCTGAGCCTCACTATCCTCATAAAAACTCTTTACAGCATTTAGTAACTTACCACCCGCTTAACGATCAAATCCCAATGCGACCAATTATGTAAGTGTATTTATGTAAGTGCGTTTGTTCGTGTATGTTTGGGGGTCTGAAATGGACTAATCTACTTCACAATATTCCTTATGGGAACAAATTCGGCTGGCACCTGAACATACTTCTGGAATGACAAAATATCGTTAATCGGGGGTCCACTGTACTTGAAACATCTGCCACATTGCTCCTCTATCTACTCTATCATATGCCTTTTCTAAATCCATAAATGCAATAAAAACTTCCCTACCTTTATCTAAATACTGTTCACATATATGCTTCAATGTAAACACTTGATCTACACATCCCCTACCCACTCTGAAACCTCCTTGCTCATCCGCAATCCTACATTCTGTCTTACCTCTAATTCTTTCAATTATAACCCTACCGTACACTTTTCCTGGTATACTCAGTAAACTTATTCCTCTATAATTTTTACAGTCTCTTTTGTCCCCTTTCCCTTTATATAAAGGGACTATACATGCTCTCTGCCAATCCCTAGGTACCTTCCCCTCTTTCATACATTTATTAAACAAAAGTACCAACCACTCCAACACTATATATCCCCCTTCTTTTAACATTTCTGTCATGATCCCATCAGTTCCAGCTGCTTTACCCCCTTTCATTCTACGTAATGCCTCACGTACCTCCCCCACACTTACATTCTGCTCTTCTTCACTCCTAAAAGATGGTATACCTCCCTGACCAGTGCATGAAATTACTGCCTCTCTTTCTTCCTTAACATTTAAAAGTTCCTCAAAATATTCTCACCATCTACCTAATACCTCCATCTCCCCATCTACTAACTCCCCTACTCTGTTTTTAACTGACAAATCCATACTTTCCCTAGGCTTTCTTAACTTGTTTAACTCACTCCAAAATTTTTTCTTATTTTCATTAAAATTTTTTGACAGTGCCTCTCCCACTCTATCATCTGCTCTCCTTTTGCACTCTCTCACCACTCTCTTTACCTTTCTTTTACTCTCCATATACTCTGCTCTTCTTATAACACTTCTGCTTTGTAAAAACCTCTCATAAGCTACCTTTTTCTCTTTTATCACACCCTTTACTTCATCATTCCACCAATTACTCCTCTTTCCTCCTGCCCCCACCCTCCTATAACCACAAACTTCTGCCCCACATTCTAATACTGCATTTTTAAAACTATTCCAGCCCTCTTCAACCCCCCCCACTACTCATCTTTGCACTAGCCCACCTTTCTGCCAATAGTCGCTTATATCTCACCCGAACTTCCTCCTCCCTTAGTTTATACACTTTCACCTCCCTCTTACTTGTTGTTGCCACCTTCCTCTTTTACCATCTACCTCTTACTCTAACTGTAGCTACACCTAAATAATGATCCGATATATCAGTTGCCCCTCTATAGACATGTACATCCTGGAGCCTACCCATCAACCTTTTATCCACCAATACATAATCTAATAAACTACTTTCATTACGTGCTACATCATACCTTGTATATTTATTTATCCTCTTTTTCATAAAATATGTATTACTTATTACCAAATCTCTTTCTACACATAGCTCGATTAAAGGCTCTCCATTTACATTTACCCCTGGCACCCCAAATTTACCTACTACTCCCTCCATAACATTTTTACCCATTTAGCATTGAAACCCCCAACCACCATTACTCTCACACTTGATTCAAAACTCCCCACGCATTCACTCAACATTTCCCAAAATCTCTCTCTCTCTCCTCTACACTTCTCTCTTCTCCAGGTGCATACATGCTTATTATAACCCACTTTTCACATCCAATCTTTATTTTACTCCACATAATCCTTGAATTAATACATTTATAGTCCCTCTTTTCCTGCCATAGCTTATCCTTCAACATTATTGCTACTCCTTCTTTAGCTCTAACTCTATTTGAAACCCCTGACCTAATCTCATTTATTCCTCTCCATTGAAACTCTCCTACCCCCTTCAGCTTTGTTTCACTTAAAGCCAGGACATCCAGCTTCTTCTCATTCATAACATCCACAATTATCTCTTTCTTATCATTTGCACAACATCCATGCACATTCAGACTTCCCACTTTGACAATTTTCTTCTTCTTATTCTTTTTAGTAATCTTTACAGGAAAAGGGGTTACTAGCCCATTGTTCCTGGCATTTTAGTTGACTTTCACAACACGCATGGCTTACGGAGGAAAGATTCTTATTCCACTTCCCCATGGATATATAAGGAAAAGTAATAAGACCAAGAACTATTAAGATAAAATCAAAGAAAACTCAGATGAGTGTGTATAAATAAATGTGTACATGTATGTGTAGTGTGACCTAAGTGTAAGTAGAATATTTATGTTTATTTATTCTACTGTGGGGTGTATTTATCATCTTTATATGTTATGTAAAGTGTTTATTATATAATTTTGAAAAAAATATCATAGATGGATTAATGAAAATGCGTTTATTAACGTAATATATGACATTTAATGAGACTTTGTTATTATTATCATTACTAATATGGTGTCTTGAGACATAAGACACTCTTACTGATTTTAATGTGTAACTGCATGCCAGCACAGTATGTAAGTTTATTTAGGTACAGGTATACATAAGTATCAGAGTACTGTAAATATAAAATATGAAATAACCATCGACATACCTTGTTCACTGAGTTTAATCGTTTCTAACAACTACGATTAGATGCCATTATAAATGAAGGGAGAAGTAATGAGATGAATTCATGCTGAGAATTGCAAACAAAGTGGAATGTGCTAAGGGAAGTGACTGGGCCAAAAGCAGATTCATACACATTTTCTCTGGTGCTGGACCAGACAAAACATAATGTTTTCCCTCCGCTCGGCTACCACATCTCATATTTATGTGAAATTTATTGTACTGTGGGTGTATCTATCAAGTTTATATGATATGTAAAGTGTTTCTTATATAATTTTGAAGAAAATACCATAGATGGGTTAATGAAAATGTGTATATTAGCATAAAATAAGACATTTAATGTACCCAAGAGTGATTATTATTATGTACTATTAGTATTATTACTATGGTGTTAAGACTAGAGGGACACTCTTAGTGATTTTAATGTGTACCTGCACGCCAGCAGTGTGTAAGTATATTTAGGTACAGGTACACATAAGCATAATTATCAGAGTACATATAAAATATGCAATACAATAGTACCCCGAGTTTTGTACAGCTCCCAACTCAAACAATTATGTAAGTGCTTTTGTAAGTGTATTTTTGGGGGTCCGAAACAGACTAATCTAACTTACATTATTCCTCATGGGAACAAATTCGTTCAGTAACAGACCTTGAACAGCCTTCTGGAACGAATTGCGATCGAAACTTAGGGTACCACTGTAACCTTAAAACGCTTGAAATTTTGGAAAGTTTCCAGACATAATAGAGAGACAGGCTCACAGAGAATGTAAACAAACCAGGTGGGGCGTGCCGTATTAGAAAGACGGGGAGCCATATAGTGAGTTTTGGCCATAATTTGAAATAGCCATATTGGTGGAATGCCGTAAGGCAAAACACCATAAAGCGGGGCCCTACTGTATATGCATTTTGTAGGCTTAGCTGTACTGCTTACTTAATGTATGATTGTGCAAACATGTTATCAGGCATTTATATGCATTTGAAGTAAAAAAAAAAAAGGCTGTTTCACTTTACAACAATTTTCACTTTACAGCAGCAGCCCAGAACCTAACCTGCTGTATAAGTGGAGCCCGACCTGTACTGTGGTTTTGGCAGCAGCAATGACAAATGAAGGGTACAAAAAAAGTTGTCTACCTCACAAACAAAGGTAATGAATAAATAATCGCAGACTGAGTATATAACTTTACCTGAGCTTCCAGGGCTTGAATATTCTCCATATAATTAGCACATTTAGACTTCAGCTCATCGGTCTGTTGTGCATTTCCCGCCATAGCTGCTTCCTTGTCTTCAAGCAGACTACGCATGTGTGATACCTCCTCATCCTTACCCTGTTAATAAGAGTGCTTTTGTTATGCACAACTCACTTTAATGTAATAATATTATCTGCCACTGTAAAGAGGACTGAGACAAGTGAACAACTAGTTAAAGTAAGGATTTCATGGAGTGTCAAAACAAAATGTAAACTTAACATGATAAAGTACTGAATTGTTAATACCTGTGTAATAACTGTTTTGCATAAAAAAGAACGAGGAGGATGCAAAGAGGTGATGAAATAAGAGAAATGAAATAAGAGAAATGAAAGTTCGAGATCTAAAGCTAATTAAGTATAGTATTAGCTAAACAGTCCAAATGTATATACATGTTCTTACCGTTAGTGCCCCAAACGTAGATCAACATTTTATTTTTCCTGCCTCCAAATTTGGCATGATTGGCCTGAGATGCCTGGTCAGCACAGAATGGGTCTTAACACTCGGTGTGTGCAGTATTAAAAAAGTCTGGGACCACTGAGTACCTTGTGGGAGTACCAGTGCAAATGAGCGTCAGCTAGAGCAAACCGCGGCAAACACCTGGGATTCACTAATTTTATGTAGTATTAACACTCCCATTTTAAGAGGAAAGTGATGATGACCCCAAGTTTAGTGGCTTTGAGGTGGATGTGGCCATAAGTGGTCAAGGAAATATCAAAAACCTCGATAATAACCCATGTGCAACATTTGTGCAACACCCTTTCAAAATGTCTTATAACCTATGCCCTAAGTAGAGAGAAACAATTCTGGAATGTGTAATACGTATTTGGCAGGCTGGCTGGCTGGCTAGCCAGCTGCTGGCTGGCAAACTGGCTGGCTCTATTTCCATCTGTCTGTCTGTATTTATGTCTGTCTGTCTGTCTATCTCTATCTGTCTCTGTCTGTCTCCATCTCTGTCTATTTCTGTCTATCTGTCTCTGTCTCTATCTCTGTCTATCTCTATCTGTCTCTGTCTCACGGGTACACATAAATACAATTATACATAGTGTAAATTACCTAGGATAACCCAAAAAATCCAGACAGTGCTATACTGTGCTTGTAGATATAATGTGTAAGCATGACTGGTAAATATGTATTTACACTTGCTCAGGAACCAGACGTAATGACACAGTCATGTGTAATACCTGTTGGTCCACGAGTGGCTCTCTCCGAGACAGAGAGACAAGCAGAGACAGAAAGAGAGGCAAGCAGAGACAGAAAGAGAGGCAAGCAGAGAGAGACAGATAAGCAGAGACAAAGATAAACAGAGAGCTAGACAGACAGATAGACAGAGAGCTTGATAGACACAGACAGACAGACAGATAGATAGATAGACAGACAGACATGCTTATGTGTAACAGTGAAAACAAATAAAGCCAGGACTGTGGATGCTCATCAAATGTCACCACTTATCTTATCACTGCACTGTCAGTAGTGGACTGACACTTGTCTTACATCATGCTTCAAGGGAACTTACTATTATTATTATATACTCCTGCATATCCAAAACACTGCTGAGACCTATAAATACTTTGTATATATTCCTAGACAATAGTAAATGACCAAGGCAGGTATAAATGTTCACCTATCAGTGTGTTTGTGACAATTTGAGTACAATTTCAGTACCTAATATTAACGTCAGAACAAAGATTGGCTATGAAATCACAAGAACTACTATAAATTATAAATATGAAAACATAAAAATTATATATAATAATATAAAAACGAGAAAAAAAGGTATATTGGCAACACGTCTGCAAGTGGCAGGACTCGATGTTGCCGTCAGGTGAGCATCCAGTGCCAACTTCACGGCCTCATATCTTGGTAAGTACTGACCCTAAATTTTTCTTTTATCCTATAACACTTAGAAAAATGTGCTCTATATTTCTATTAAAAAAATGATGTTTTTTTTTTCAAAATATTCGGGGCGCTGGGCGAGAGAACGTATATACAGTGGAACCTTGGTTAACGAATACTCCACCATGCAAATTTTTCAGGATACAAACTGTTGTTCCATCGATTTTTTGCTTCTGGATACGAACGAAATTTCAGGATGCGAACTTCCCCATCAAGGGAGGTTCCTTAAATAAATAACTAAAATATTTATTTCTTTGCAAAGGTTGCAATGTATGTTTACATATAATATGATAGGTAGTAGGTTGGTAGACAGCAACCACCCAGGGAAGTACAGTGGACCCCTGGTTAACGATATTTTTTCACTCCAGAAGTATGTTCAGGTGCCAGTACTGACCGAATTTGTTCCCATAAGGAATATTGTGAAGTAGATTAGTCCATTTCAGACCCCCAAACATACACTTACAAACTCACTTACATAAATATGCTTACATAATTGGTCGCATTCGGAGGTGATCGTTATGCGGGGGTCCACTGTACTACCGTCCTGCCAGATGACTGTGAAACAGAAACCTGTAACTGTTTTGCATGATGGTAGGATTGCTGGTTTCTTTTTCTGTCTCATAAACACGCTAGATAACAGGGATATCTTGCTACTCATACTTACACTTTGGTCACACTTCACAGACATGCACATGCATATATATATATATACATACATCTAGGTTTTTCTCCTTTTTCTAAATAGCTTTTGTTCTTCTTTATTTCTTCTATTGTCCATGGGGAAGTGGAAAAGAATCTTTCCTCCGTAAGCCATGCGTGTCGTATGAGGCGACTAAAATGCCGGGAGCGATGGGCTAGTAACCCCTTCTCCTGTAGACATTTACTAAACAAGAGAAAAAGAAAAACTTTATAAAACTGGGATGCTTGAATGTGCGTGGATGTAGTGCGGATGACAAGAAAAAGATGATTGCTGATGTTATGAATGAAAACAAGTTGGATGTCCTGGCCCTAAGCGAAACAAAGCTGAAGGGGGTAAGGGAGTTTCGGTGGGGGGAAATAAATGGGATTAAATCTGGAGTATCTGAGAGAGTTGGAGCTAAGGAAGGGGTAGTGGTAATGTTGAAGGATCAGTTATGGAAGGAGAAAAGAGAATATGAATGTGTAAATTCAAGAATTATGTGGATTAAAGTAAAGGTTGGATGTGAAAAGTGGGTCATAATAAGCATGTATGCACCTGGAGAAGAGAGGAATGTAGAGGAGAGAGAGAGATTTTGGGAGATGTTAAGTGAATGTATAGGAACCTTTGAACCAAGTGAGAGAGTAATTGTGGTAGGGGACCTAAATGCTAAAGTAGGAGAAACTTTTAGAGAGGGTGTGGTAGGTAAGTTTGGGGTGCCAGGTGTAAATGATAATGGGAGCCCTTTGATTGAACTTTGTATAGAAAGGGGTTTAGTTATAGTAATACATATTTTAAGAAAAAGAGGATAAATAAGTATACAAGATATGATGTAGGGCAAAATGACAGTAGTTTGTTGGATTATGTATTGGTAGATAAAAGACTGTTGAGTAGACTTCAGGATGTACATGTTTATAGAGGGGCCACAGATATATTAGATCACTTTTTAGTTGTAGCTACACTGAGAGTAAAAGGTAGATGGGATACAAGGAGAATAGAAACATCAGGAAGAGAGAAGTGAAGGTTTATAAACTAAAAGAGGAGGCAGTTAGGGTAAGATATAAACAGCTATTGGAGGATAGATGGGCTAATGAGAGCATAGGCAATAGGGTCGAAGAGGTATGGGGTAGGTTTAAAAATGTAGTGTTAGTGTTCAGCAGAAGTTTGTGGTTACAGGAAAGTGGGTGCGGGAGGGAAGAGGAGCGATTGGTGGAATGATGATGTAAAGAGAGTAGTAAGGGAGAAAAAGTTAGCATATGAGAAGTTTTTACAAAGTAGAAGTGATGCAAGGAGGGAAGAGTATATGGAGAAAAAGAGAGAGGTAAAGAGAGTGGTGAAGCGATGTAAAAAGAGTGCAAATGAGAGTGGGTGAGATGTTATCAACAAATTTTGTTGAAAATAAGAAAACGTTTTGGAGTGAGATTAACAAGTTAAGGAAGCCTAAAGAACAAATGGATTTGTCAGTTAAAAATAGGAGAGGAGAGTTATTAAATGGAGAGTTAGAGGTATTGGGAAGATGGAGGGAATATTTTGAGGAATTGTTAAATGTTGATGAAGATAGGGAAGCTGTGATTTCGTGTATAGGGCAAGGAGGAATAACATCTTGCAGGAGTGAGGAAGAGCCAGTTTTGAGTGTGGGGGAAGTTCGTGAGGCAGTAGGTAAAATGAAAGGGGGTAAGGCAGCCGGGATTGATGGGATAAAGATAGAAATGTTAAAAGCAGGTGGGGATATAGTTTTGGAGTGGTTGGTGCAATTATTTAATAAATGTATGGAAGAGGGTAAGGTACCTAGGGATTGGCAGAGAGCATGCATAGTTCCTTTGTATAAAGGCAAAGGGGACAAAAGAGAGTGCAAAATTATAGGGGATAAGTCTGTTGAGTATACCTGGTAAAGTGTATGGTAGAGTTATTATTGAAAGAATTAAGAGTAAGACGGAGAATAGGATAGCAGATGAACAAGGAGGCTTTAGGAAAGGTAGGGGGTGTGTGGACCAGGTGTTACAGTGAAACATATAAGTGAACAGTATTTAGATAAGGCTAAAGAGGTTTTTGTGGCATTTATGGATTTGGAAAAGGCGTATGACAGGTAGATAGGGGGACAATGTGCAGATGTTGCGGGTGTATGGTGTAGGAGGTAGGTTACTGAAAGCAGTGAAGAGTTTTTACGAGGATAGTGAGGCTCAAGTTAGAGTATGTAGGAAAGATGGAGATTATTTCCCAGTAAAAGTAGGCCTTAGACAAGGATGTGTGAGGCCACCGTGGTTGTTTAATATATTTATAGATGGGGTTGTAAGAGAAGTAAATGCGAGGGTCTTGGCAAGAGGCATGGAGTTAAAAGATAAAGAATCACACATAAAGTGGGAGTTGTCACAGTTGCTCTTTGCTGATGACACTGTGCTCTTGGGAGATTCTGAAGAGAAGTTGCAGAGGTTGGTGGATGAATTTGGTAGGGTATGCAAAAGAAGAAAATTATAAGTGAATACAGGAAAGAGTAAGGTTATGAGGATAACAAAAAGATTAGGTGATGAAAGATTGGATATCAGATTGGAGGGAGAGAGTATGGAGGAGGTGAATGTATTCAGATATTTGGTAGTGGACGTGTCAGCGGATGGGTCTATGAAAGATGAGGTGAATCATAGAATTGGTGAGGGAAAAAGGGTGAGCGGTGCACTTAGGAGTCTGTGGAGACAAAGAACTTTGTCCTTGGAGGCAAAGAGGGGAATGTATGAGAGTATAGTTTTACCAACGCTCTTATATGGGTGTGAAGCATGGGTGATAAATGTTGCAGCGAGGAGAAGGCTGGAGGCAGTGGAGATGTCATGTCTGAGGGCAATGTGTGGTGTGAATACAATGCAGAGAATTCGTAGTTTGGAAGTTAGAAGGAGGTGCGGGATTACCAAAACTGTTGTCCAGAGGGCTGAGGAAGGGTTGTTGAGGTGGTTCAGACATGTAGAGAGAATGGAGCAAAACAGAATGACTTCAAGAGTGTATCAGTCTGTAGTGGAAGGAAGGTGGGGTAGGGGACGGCCTAGGAAAGGTTGGAGGGGGGGGTAAAGGAGGTTTTGTGTGCGAGGGGCTTGGACTTCCAGCAGGCATGGGTGAGTGTGTTTGATAGGAGTGAATGGAAACAAATGGTTTTTAATACTTGACGTGCTGTTAGAGTGTGAGCAAAGTAACATTTATGAAGGGATTCAGGGAAACCGGCAGGCCGGACTTGAGTCCTGGAGATGGGAAGTACAGTGCCTGCACTCTGAAGGAGGGGTGTTAATGTTGCAGTTCAAAAACTGTAGTGTAAAGCACACTTCTGGCAAGACAGTGATGGAGTGAATGATGGTGAAAGTTTTTCTTTTTCGGGCCACCCTGCCTTGATGGGAATCGGCCAGTGTGTTAATAAAAAAAAATGATTGGAGCAAAGAAAGCCTCAATCGTGCTGAGGCATTTCGGCCAGACTTAACCTAATACTAATAGACTATTTAAGTCTAGACAAGTGAAAAGTGTACTAGCAGTGATTACCAATGTTTTGCTAATGGTGGCGCCAACTACTGGCTGCCCTTTGAAGATTCTCCCTACTGTTATTATTATTATTACTATTATATTGTATTATTATTATTGTTATTGTTATAATAATAATAATTATTATTATTATTATTATTATTATTATTATTATTATTATTATTATTATTATTATTATCAGTAGTAGTAGTACATACATGGTGAGGGGCTCTTGATCTAGGGAAATGGATCTGTGTTCCAGGTCAGTAAATTAATAATAATGATAATAATTATTATTATAACAATATGTATGTACTAATAATAATGATAATACATAATTACTCATAATAAATAATAACAATATAATAATAACAATAATACTATGTATGTACTGCATATAATTTAGTTTAACGACACCACCACAATGCTCACCAGTGCACATGTGCATACTGACCTACCCTCGCGATCCAAGGAATTCTCGTAATTTCCTTACGTTTCATGCAATTAATTCACTAGATTTCTTTCTTCTAACAATGGGTCCAAAGAAAGCAGGTGCAAAGAACAGTGCCAAGAAGAAAAAGAGGATGATTTGCGTGGAAATAATGCAAGAAATCATTGATAAGCACAGACCAGATATATAGTGTAATGAGAAAAACATAAAAATTGTACAGAGAGACCACACTCGCGACAACAATCCTCCTCCTTCCGCCGTCCACGTAATTATTTATTTATTTATTAGCACACTGATTGATTCCCACCAAGGCAGGGTGGCCCGAAAAAGAAAAACTTTCACCATCATTCACTCCATCACTGTCTTGCCAGAAGGGTGCTTTACACTACAGTTCTTAAACTCCAACATTAACACCCCTCCTTCACAGTGCAAGCACTGTACTTCCCATCTCCAGGACTCAAGTCCGGCCTGCCGGTTTCCCTGAATCCCTTCATAAATGTTACTTTGCTCTCACTCCAACAGCACATCAAGTATTAAAAACCATTTGTCTCCATTCACTCCTATCAAACATGCTCATGCATGCCCGCTGGAAGCCCAAGCCCCTCGCACACAAAACCTCCTTTACCCCCTCCCTCCAACCTTTCCTAGGCTGACCCTACCCCACCTTCCTTCCACTACAGACTGATACACTCTTGAAGTCATTCTGTTTTGCTCCATTCTCTCTACATGTCCGAACCACCTCAACAACCCTTCCTCAGCCCTCTGGACAACAGTTTTGGCAATCCCGCACCTCCTCTTAACTTCCAAACTACGAATTCTCTGCATTATATTCACACCACCACACATTGCCCTCAGACATGACATCTCCACTGCCTCCAGCCTTCTCCTCGCTGCAACATTCATCACCCATGCTTCACACCCATATAAGAGCATTGGTAAAACTATACTATCATACATTCCCCTCTTTGCCTCCAAGGACAAAGTTCTTTGTCTCCACAGACTCCTAAGTGCACTGCTCACCCTTTTCCCCTCATCAATTCTATGATACACCTCATCTTTCATAGACGTAATGATATATTTTATTCATACTAGAGTATATATCAGGTTTCTATATTATTTATATTGTTTATTATGTCATATTAGATGAACTGTGACAAATAAATAAGCCATAGAGTTGATATTAGGGTTATTTTGTCATGCCTCATGAGAGCAGGAATTCAGTTGGAATGAATTAATTTCATTTCAATTAATTTAAATGAGGAAAATTGACCCAGCATACGAACAAGTCCACGGAACGGATTAAATTCGTAAGACGAGGTTCCACTGTATATATATTTGGACTGTTTAGGGGTTAAAATGAGGTTAAGTATTATAAAACTTTCATTTCATCAAATTAAAAAATAGAGGCAGTGACAGGAATATTAAGGGAACAGAAGAGAAAAATTACAATACAGAAAACAGCCCCAGACAGAAAAAAATGATGAATTGAAAGAAAGCCCCAAGCATGAATAAAAAAAATATAAAACTTGGTGGCATCACAAATTGTATACAAACCTGAGGATTGGGGCAGGTGCTAGGAGATGGAACAAGAGCAAAAATAAGAGCTTATAGGCTGCTTAACATAACAGGAAAAGTATAATGCAGTACATACTCTATATGCAAGAGTTATACAGTAAATGAGAAAAGTGAGTGAACAAACAGTGAAGAAAAATGAATAGAAAGTTTTCAGACAACATATACTGTACTGAATAATGAAAGTGTAGATTAAAAACTTTCTGTAAAGATATCAGAAAAATATATTAAAAAAAAAAGTCTTATGCAGCATACTTGACCCTAGAAAATACATGACATTGAAATGTCATGCCCTATGGAAGGCTTTCAAAATTTATAGAAGCTGTGAGTAATTTTAACAAAGAAAGCAGGTGTGAGCATGGGACTCATGAAAATTTTGAAATAGGTCTAGTAATAAGACAAGGTTATATATGTCCCTCCTTGGTATATTAATGGACATATGAATGAAACTACTATAGAGAAATGAAAGAATAAGTAAATAACAGAATAAAGCAGGAACTGAATGATAAAACAGAGTTCCTTGTGACCAGTATTTTTGTTGAGGAATCAATACTGATGGCAGAAAATATATATATAAAAAAAGTTATGCAATGATGAATAAGTTCAACTTAAGTCTTTCCAGCAATAAGTGGAGTTCTTGTACCCGACTATAGTGTAATTCTCTTATTGCACACCCCTCCAACTTCCTGAGAAAAGCAAGGCATCTAAAACATAGTGAGAGAAAGATATGATACCTAAGTTCCTATGAGAGAGAGAGAGAAAAAAAAAGAGAGAAGAGAGAGAAAAGAGAAAAAGAGAGTAAGTAGAAAGAGGAGAGAAAAGAGAAAGAAGAGGAGGAGAGCAACAGAGTGAGTAAGCTTGTGAAATTGGAGAGAGGAACATCAGCATGTGCACAGCAATGTACAATTGTGGATATGAACGAGTAAGCTTCTTCTGATTCCACCTTCCTTCTCAATCTAGTGTGAACCACTCATCAGAGAAAGTTCAAAATAAATTCTGTTACCTTAAAAAACAAATTTAGGAGAAATATTGTAGAAAACAGTATTAACTTAAAATGCATAATGAAGTATTGATGATTACCTGTAGTTTCTTTTTCATAATATCTACTTCATCCTTGAGGTTTTTTATTTCTTCTTTTAAGGCAGCTGCCAACTCTGACTTTGCTTTAAGATCATTCTGAAGTGCTGCTTCCCTAGCCTGGAAACTGCTAGCCTGAGGGCAGTTACAAATGGCAGTTATCTTAAGAATACAGTAATTCACTTTGACCTTTACAAAATCATTTTATAAAATAAGTAAAATAACTGAATCTTAGTATGGTACATCTATAACACAGCAGCATGACACTGTTCATTATTAATGTCTTTAATAATAATCAGAATTTTTCATATTAATTTTTTTTTTATCTACATGAGCATGATAAAAAAAAAAAAGCAAGAGTCAAATTAAGTATTTCAGAACGACTGCTAGAAGTATCAACCCTCTTTCTTACAATCAATATGTACATTTATTGCTATTAAATTACTGAAAACATAATGAAGACATCATAAACTAGTACCTAAAACTTTTCTTTTAATACAGGTCGGCCATCATTAATCCGGCAATCAGAAATCCAGTTCAATCAGTAATTCACCACTAATTTCATCTAGCATAATTTCAAATTTCCAGGGTTGCCACACCAACCTGCCATTACTGTTTGGTGGTGCTATTTACTGCACAAGTCATTCCAATTTCTTTTCCTCCATTTGTTATAACCTGCTCACTTTTAGCCCTAGCCATGATTCCAACAAATAAAAGAAATGCTTCTCATGGTGTAAAGCACATACTACACTGTACATTGTCCATAAAAGATAAGGTGGCTTTGAAGCCACTATCAGTCACCATGAACTCAGCTCACTCACATAAGCTGTGACTGGCAAATTTGGGCCTACATATGAGAGAATAGGTCTATGTGGTAACTGTGAACTATATAAAAGAAAATCCTGCAGCAAGCATTGCATAATGAGAAAAAAATTGCGATTGTGTTTTTGGTGTAAAATAGAGACTTGTGGTATACAGTGGACCCTCACCTAACGATATTAAGTGGTACCTGAGAACGAATATCGTTAGGCGAGTTTTTTAGCATTAGCCGAGGCAAAATGTTAGCGTTAAAATGTATCGTTAGGCGAATTTAATGTTATGCGATGCGTTCGTTAGGCGAGGGTCCACTGTATTTTTGTATTCTCTTTTTTTGGTCTCATTTGACAGAATGAAGGATATATCTGAGAAATAGATACGATTTTGATTGGTTTCATGACAGAAAGTACGTTGAAACTGAACTCAAAGCAGCGGAAATGTTCGATTTTTGCAGATGTTCAAGAGTAAACAAATGATGTCACCGTCCAATACATGTCCAACTGGCCAGTCTAATATGCAGTCATGAATGGGTTGACATTACTTATACGTATTATTACAGTATTACAATGCCATAATCTGCATAACAGTAAATCTGTTTTTTGTGTGAATAAAAATTCAAAATTAAAAGCAAGCGTAATATAAGAGGGGCCTGTAGACATGACTAATAAGCAGAGGAAATGTTATTTTAGTGCCAGGAATGTCTGCACTGTTTATTCTGGACTCTATTTTGAAATTGGCATCTACTGAAATTCGTGCGAAATTGGCCACATTACCAATTTCTGACCACTTTATTGAGTAGTTGAAATAGGTAAATGGGCAGTTTCTTGTACTCAATCGACAGAATAGAAGGAATGCTAGAGAAATACGTAGCTATGAGTTTGGTAGGCTGGATCAATGGAATGGGCTAAAAATAGGGGGTAAGGTAGGTGAAATCACCAATGCATAAATATCGTCATTGGGTTAAGTGCACTCTAACCTAACAATTCTGTAATCCAGCAAAATCACTAATCCAGCACCCTATAGGTCCCGATGATGGCGGATTAGAGATGGTCAACCTGTATCATGATCATACTGGAGTCTAAAAGTTTAAGCATGGTTGCTTATGCCTTAGCCCATTTTATTTATGGTACTGGATACTTCACTGCATGAACTAACAAAAAAAATATTCACTACCCTTATTAACCCCTAAACTGTATCTGATGTATACTGTGTGTCAGGGTACCAGAATGTCTGACATACACTCTATGCCATACACCTTCAAATATGTTGCCTGCCAACACTTCAGTTTTCAGCTTAACTGTTTGGGGTTGCCAACCACCACCCTCACACCTGGGAAAAAAACTTGAGAACCAGGCAGGTCCACACACTGAATCATGGATTACACTGCCTCAGTAGCATATGTAAACAATAACCAGCAGGCCCTTTAATACCAGCACCAGCTACTCTGCCTGCAGTGTGGAATTTGCAAGAAGGTGCCTTACTTGTTCCAGATCTATTATAATTTTATATTACTAACAAAAGAATTTAGCCAAAAAGCCCACAATGTAAATTTAACCTAGGATAACCCAATAAAGTCTAGCACTGTGACTTATTTCTATGTTTCAGGGAGCATTACACTATCATAAGAATTTCTTGTATAGTATAAACAGAAATATGAAAAAGCAATTATTTGTAGCAATTTATAGAGAATATTGCAGATGGGGCTAAGGAGAGATAAGTATCTTCATATGCTTAAGGTTTGGTTGGCAATGCTCTCGCATCACACACAGAGTGCCTGTGGTTAAATCCCCGGCATGGGTGGAAACGTTGCAGATGTTTACTTACATCTGCTATTCCTGTTCACCTAGAAGTAAGCAGGTAACCTGGGTGTTAGTTGACTGGTGTGAGTCACATCCTGGGGGACAAGATCAAAGGACCCCAATGGAAATAAGAGAGACAGTTGTTGATGACACAATGACTTTCTTAGGTTAACCTGGGTGGCTAACCCTTCCCCTGGGTTATAAATGCAAACAAATCTTATCTTATGGTACTAAAACACATTGAGACACAGATATTATCCTAACAAGGTAGTGTACATAGTGTTAGACATTGGAAAAAATAATCATAGTCTGGAGTAAATATGTTAGAAAACATTAATACTGCAATGTGCATTTGTGCCTATGTTACAAATAAATGATCATTTATCACCAACTTCAAGATGCCTTAAAACCAAAAGTTTTCCTCTGATTTCAGTTTTCTTTTCATAGTTCTATTTAGAAAAATGGTCTCTTTCAATCTTGTAAGAAAAAAATAATTTTGAAAACTTCATCATACAAACACAGGAATTTTTATTTCCAGGTCTGCCAGTGTAATTGCTAATATCATTAGCCTAAGATGCATTTCTTTATAATTTATAATAGTAGTTCATATTCCTTTATACCTGTATGCTGTTACATTTGCAATATGACAAAGAATTTCCTCTAATCTCTAACACACACATACTACAAAATCTTCAATATAAATTATCTTAATCCACTTGTAAAAAGAAAATTCTTCTATTGGCTATAATGTTTATTTTGTCAGGTATGAAATGGAAAAGGAAAATAAAATAACAATCAAGATTAACTGGATTAAAAATAAAGTTAAGTAGGGTTAGCTAAGAATATTTCAGATACAGTTCAAAATAAAATAAAACCAGTATATAAAATTACCTATCAATATTTTATATTGGAAAAGTGTAACAATCCATTACACTGCATTATAATACTGTACATACTCTACTGCCAATACCATACAGTAATACACTCTCTGATCTCTAAAATTCAGAATTTTCTATTTAACCCTTTCACTGTCGGTGTCGAAATATTACGGCTTGCAAGCCAGTGTTGGTGCCGTAATATTACGTCAAAATTCTAGCAGCTTCCAACCTTGCAGAAGAAAGCTGGTAGGCCTACATATGAGAAAATGGGTCTGAGTGGTCAGTTTGTGCAGTATAAAAATAAATCCTGCAGCACACAGTGCATGAGAAAAAAAAAACTCCTTCCACGTTTTTGGTTTAAAACACCAACTTTGAGGTGTATTTTCGTATGGTATTTATGGTTGTATTCTCATTTTCTTGGTCTTATTTGATAGAATGGAAGATATATTACAGAAATAGAGATGATTATGGACTAAAAGTACAATCACATCAACTGGTGGTCTAATATGCTTTCACAAAGGCACTGATATTATTTACACCATTTTTTACAATAATGCAGTAGTCTGCATAACAGTAAATCTTCTATTTTTTTGTGTGAATAAAAATTCTAAATGGAAAGGAAGCATAATATAAGAAGGACCTGGAGATGTGACTAATTAACAGAGAAAATGTTATTATAGTGCTAGGAATGTTTGTAATGTTAATTCTGGACCCTATTTTGAAACTGGCCTTACTTGAATTGTGCATGAAATTGGCCAAATTACCAATTTCTGATAATTTTATTGGGTAGTTGAAATTGGTAAATGGGTGGTCTCTTGTACTAAATCAAAAAAACAAATGGAGTTCTAGTGAAATAGCTATGAGTCTGGTCAACTGGAACAATTGAACTGGCCAAAAATTGAGCTCAAAGTGGGCGAAATCGCCAATGCGTAAATATCGCCAAGACCACTAACTTTCCAAGAGCGAAATTCCGTAAGTTTTCCATCAAATTTCCTACTTTTGGTGTCATTAACATTGAGAAAAGATTCTCTATAAGAAAAAATATTTTATTTTTTAAATTCTTCAACACCGAGAGCAAGTTTGTAAGCAGGGATCTCGAAAATGAAAGGATTAACAGGAATTTTGAATTTGAATGGAGAATTTGGCAAAAGGATAGCAGTTTTTCTGATAAAAGAGAATGTTATGTAATTTGAATTCAGAATGATTGAAAATTAACTCTCTTATCAAGAGCAAAAATTCTTAAAATTTTATCAATTCAAATTTCAGAAAGACCTATTCATTTTTTTTCCAAACATGAGAGAATACTTTACAAATTACTTAGGAAACTCTCCATAACTCTGATTTACTTTAATCTAGATAGGACTGAAGTACTGTACAGTATGTGATTTTTATAACTCAGACAAAGCTAAACTATTAAGAAATTGAAAGAAAATAGAATGAAATATAGTCAACTTCAAAAGTACCATAACTTTACCTCAATATCTCTGTTGATGAGCTTTTCACGTACAGACTGAAGCTCTAGTCGAAACCTATCCTCCAAAAGCTTGACAGAGTCACTCTGAAAACCACATGCAATAGTCTACCATCATGCACCACACTAATGTTAGGAATAATTCAGTCTTTAGCTAGGGTATCCAATAATGCATGCAAGAATCAGCATTGACAATAACTGATATTTTAACTACCTTACCATACATGAAGTGCAGAACATTGCAGTTGGATTACTACAAATAATAGTGTTCATGATAAAGTTATAAAATACTATAAATAATGACAGTTGACTGCCTTGCATCTGTTTTTTTTAACTTTGCATCTATTTCCCACCAAAACAAAGTGATCCAAAGAGCAATTTTTCTTCTTTGTGTTTCAGGTTAGCTAAGTTCAAGAAAAAGAATAACCAATGCCTTGCTCTGGATATTTTAGTTTTCTTCTTTGCTTTGCATGGCTTAAAAGGAAAGAATTTTAATCTACTTTACCCAAAGGGTGGAAATGAACAGAGAACATGTTTCCAGAACTGATTCAGAAAGCACAAGAAAAACAACAGAAACAAAGTGTATAATGAAAAGGAGAGTTATTAATATTAGCCTGCTATATAAATGTTCATGACACAGGAGAAAAATAGCAATTATATCAGACTGGAAAACTTTAAGCAGGCTTCTGTCTGATCCCTCACACAACAGAATGAAATAAATAATACAGTAGGGCATCCCCCTATCTGTAGAGATTATGTTCCAAGGACCTGCCACGGATTGTAGCGAACCCATTTATAAGTCATTTTTCGTTTACATACATACCTATTACTGTATAAAGTTTAATTGATAAATTACACACAATAAGTCAAGAATTAGCACTTTTCACTGACAGGAAGTACTTCACAGCTTCTCTTAGGCTTTGAAGAACTACCACCATCACTACTCTTGCACTTTGAGGTCATTATTAAGCAAAATTAAGGTTTTTTTCGAGCAACGGTAAACCACGGATAACTGAAACTGCATGCAGATACAGGCCCCACAGATATGGGGGAGGGGTCGTACTGTAATACAGTGGACCCCCGAGTTTCGGCAGCCTCGACTTTCGCGAAATTCGACCTTCATCGAGTTTTTTTTGGAAAAATTTCGCCTCGAGTTTCATGAAAAAACTCGTGTTTCGGCGACCGTCCATTACCTGTCCGCCCGTCACCGCGCACACAAAGCCAGTCTCCCACGCCATTCACACTCAGTGTGCCATTGTTTACCAACACGTGGCCATCACCCCGCGGGTTCATACAGTACATTTCATAATAATCCATTGTTTTTTGTGCTTGCAACTGCTAAATAAGTCATCATGGACCCAAGGAAAGCTAGTGCAAGCCCTTTGGTAAATAAAGTGAGTGACGGGGATGTGGAAGAGTTGGTGGAGGACCACAGGGAAGAGCTAACCACTGACGAACTGCAAGAGCTTCAATTGGAACAGCATCAGACCACAGCTGAGGAACTTGCTTCAGAGGAGGAGGAAGAGGGAGTGGATGAGGTGCCTTCTTCAATGATTAAGGACATGTGTGGAATGTGGAATGAGTTGCAAAGTTTTGTTGAAAAGTATCACCCTGACCAAGCTGAAACAAGCTGTATCTGCAACATGTACAATGACAGTGTTGTGTCCCACTTCAGGGAAATCTTAAAGAAACGCCAGAAAAAGACCTCTCTAGATAGATATTTTGTGCGCCAGGGGTCCAGTGACTCTCAAGTTGTTCCCAGTGGCATTAAAAGAAGAAGGGAAGTAACCCCAGATAAGGACTTGCTACCTAAAGTCCTAATGGAAGGAGATTTTCCTTCCAAACAATAGTGTACACCTTCCTCCTATCACCTCCTCCCATCTTCCATCCACCCAGAAGTCTTCAGTAAAGGTAAGTGTAATGTTATTATTATTTATTTTAAATGCATGTATGTACTTGATTTCTGATTGTTTTCATTATGTAAATCTTTATTTAATTTGAAAAAAAAAAAATTATTTTAATATTTTTGGGTGTCTGGAACGGATTAATTTTATTTCCATTATTTCTTATGGGGAAAATGGTTTCGAGTTTTGTGAATTTCGACCTTCGGCGGGCTCTCTGGAACGGATTAATCATGAAACTCGGGGGTCCACTGTATTAATAAAAAGTGCTAAACCCATGAAAGTCATTCAGCACTGAGCAGTAGAGGAACACATGTCAGAAAACAAGAGCAGTCACAAACAGCAAGACAAGATAGGACACAAATGTAGGACTTAGAGAATATAATAAAGTAGACTGATAAAATATCATAGACAACATTAATATTTAAAAAAAAAATCTGAGAAAAGGCTGAGAATAAGCACAGCAAGGCATGAATAAAAGGCTGAAAATAAAGACCAATCATTCTGAGATAAACATGGCAATCTATCAAGATGTGCTAGACAGATACTGTGACATCATATAAACCTCACATAGTGGAGAAGGTGCGAATACATAAGATGACCAAGGGTGAGTCTGCTACATCAACTGCATAAGTATGATGAAACAGTTTCCTCTAATAATGATTTCACAGAAAACAGTTCACTGGTCAGTCTGGTGGACCAACAATGCTGCTGGTGATCTTTCATGTGTTATGTGAAAACTAAACAGCCAAACACCATAAATTCACTAGATTTAGGTATCTCACAAATTCATAATCCATGATTACAATATAAATCAACCCCTAAATCCATAAAAGTGATATTCTGAGGATTTTATGAATCTGGAATTTGCAAATACAGTACAACCTGTAATGCAAAGTTCTGTCTGCATAATAAATTCTGTTTCATCTAGATAAAGATTCATTTTGTGTTTCTGAGACCATATCTCTTTAAATATTGCTCTGATCTAGTTAATATTAATGAATGTCCAGAAAGTAATTAATTTTAGTCAATGAAAATCCATTGAGAACATTTTAAAGGAAATCCTATGGCTGCTTTTCAATTTAGGGATTGTGCACCAAGCCAATGAAAAATAAGCATGGTAAATAATCAAAGCCATTCATGGGAGGTCCTTTGATAAAAAATGTTTGATAATCAAAGCACATGAATTAAAAAGCCAGCAAATTTAGGGCTTGGACTGTAGCAATCTGAGAGAGGTTATTACCAATCAAAGATCAGAAGGTTAGAAGCAAATGAATATGCAATGAGTCTTGAAGTTTATTATTCCAAATGCTGAACTGAGTGGGAATCAAACAGAAAATATCCCTTTGAGATGACCCCAGCATAGCAAGTGAAACAGTAAAACAGAATACAGTGGTACCTTGAGTTTCGAACAGCTCCCAACTTGAACAATTATGTAAGTGTATTCTTGTAAGTGCTTTTGTAAGTGTATTTTTAGGGGTCTGAAACTGACTAATCTAATTTACATTATTCCATATGGGAACAAATTTGTTTGGTAACAGCACTCGAACAGCCTTCTGGAACGAATTAAGTTCATAACTCAAGGTACCTGGGTGTTGCCAATTGCTGTTTGTTGCAGCCTGGGAAAGAGGACTAAAAGACCCCCAATGGAAACAAGTCATGATGCATTTTTTGGGGGGGGGGGGGGGGGTTTATTCTGGGTTTATAGCACTCAGGGGTTAATAATCAGAAAAAAGAATTCTTTTTATGCATGCAACTTTCTAGACTGTTAACCCTTAAATGGTCCAAACATATATATATGTTCTCTCATGTATATATATGTTTGGACCAAACGTATATATATACGTTTCATTTGTCATTCATTCAACATTGGCATGATAGGTCTGAGTCACCTAGACATGAGAGAATGGGTGTGCACACTCAGTGTGCACCATATAAAAAAATTGGGGATGCCTGGGTACCACATGCTCTTTTTCCTATAAAAAAAACTATTTTTTTTTTCTCAAAATATTTGGGGCGCTGTGGAAGTGAATGTATATATACGTTTGGACTATTTAAGGGTTAATAAGGGATAAGTAATCAGTATATACAAGAGAGGGAGTGAAGTAATCCACAGAAAATGATCTCCAAAAGAATTATGGGATTAACCCCCACTCAAGACTCAGTGGAATAAAAGTGGCAGAGGAGCATTATTATCACTAGTGAGTGTTGAAATTAGATCTATCACTATCACTACACAAGAATAAAACGAGGATCCCAGAAGTAGTAAAGCCATGAGGTTGAGGTGGTTAGTGATCAGAATCATCAAGAAGGATGTGTGTGATACAGGAAATCTTGAGGAAGGGACCTAGAAGGTTTTTTGTGTTGGAACGGAGTCAAAGAGAGGTGAGATCAAACTTACCCTCTATCAAGGCAGTGATAAGCTTTGATTTTTTTACTTTTGTGGAAGCCCCAAAACTGAAACATCCCTATTACTGTCCTGAGATCTATGGATGTCAAATGTGTAGTTGAGCTCTCCATAAAGATATAGAATTAAGATAGAGGAACACCAGTATATCTAGAGACCCAAGCCAAATTCTGTACCTGCAACTAATTTCGAGATTTTCTACTCTCACAGCCCAGCCTGGATCCAGGATGAACTGTGGATGAGTTAGCAGGAAGCCTTGGGGCTGTCTTGAAACAGAAGGCATCAACAAACTAAGTTCTTGCCACTGAGAAAGAATGTAATGTGTCTGGGGAACTCACTGAAGATGGGAATGTTTTAGAATATCTTGATGTATGCTTGGAGAAAAGAGGAACAGACTGGAAAATATTTCTAATTTCATCTTTAGAAGGGACATAATGGGGCTAACATCTTTAAAAACCAGAATGAGTTTGAATTGTTCTCTCTCTTTGACTAGAAGACACAAGGGAGAGAGGGGAAGACTTTCCACTACTCCTTCCTGTACGACTTCCTGAAAATAGACATCAAGTGGTGTGTGGTTGCTTTTGTAGTAGTGAATTTGGGTGGGGAAAGGAATGACAAATGAGAGAGCTAGATAGTGAAAAATCATTTGAAATCATCTTGGGTTACACAGAGTAAGGGTGTTGTTTAATGTCTTAGATGAAGTTTGGGACCTAGTCTATCTACTTTACAATTCCTATTTCTTTTATATATATTAACACATCGGCCATTTCCCACCAAGG